TAAAATAATTTTTAGGGATCTTGAGAGCCAGCTTCAAGGGAAGGAAAGAGAATTACATTCCTATATCTGAAGTGGGGTGCAAATAGCCTTACTGATGACCCAAGAAGTCAGTGTCCGATGGCAAAGCTGTCCTGACACACAGTGAGTTGAACACATCTTGTGAAGGACTGAATTTTAGTGTAGAGTTTGGGTTTCTGAAGACACTCATAGCAGTGGTATTACTGCTATTTGCACCATTATTCTGGCCTTAAACATGCAAGGGAAATTACTGCGCTTCCTTAACTTCAAGATGGAGTTAATGTCCTGTTGCTCTTTGCTATACTGAAAAGAACTTTATAAAACTCTCTTCTTGAGACAAGGAGGAACCACCTTTCTATCTTCTAGGGCCAGAGGAAGAACATTTTATTGCCAAAATGCGTTCTTACAACAGTGATCTCTGGAAAGAATGGAAAAAATTGATAGAAAGTGAGAAAGAGAAATGTAGCCTTTGCAGTTGTTCTGAAGTCACCTGGGTTCAAGTGCAAATGAATTTGATCCATTTGACTACTAAAGAGTACAGGGAGGGAAATGGAACATGGTGAGAAATGGGTCAGGCATACCTCTTCAAAAAGCGCTGATATGAGGATAAGATATAAGAAATGCCCTGGACAGAACGTCATGTTTGTGTCACTAAAGCACCTTAAGGATTCACGCAGCCTAGTAAGGCCTGTGATGATAAGTGACTTCATTTTTAAAGACAATGTAAGAAATGTATAATAAAATCTCTTGGTTCTAAAAGTTAATATAAAGAGTAACCAAAGAGCAAAAGATTTGATTAGGAGATGAGGACTTTTTGAGTCTTAAGCTCAGACAGGTCTGCAGTCCTGGTTCCTCAAAGAGGAAGTTTTCAGCTGCCTGTCACATCTTTGTAAGCAGTTGACTTATTTGTAATGAGGCAGTCCAATTGCATAACTAATGCTATAAAATCTATTTTTGTGTCCACAGTATCAAGTTCTATGTAAGAAACCAGTCAGTTGCTCTATAGGAACCCTGTAGCCTTTTCAAGTGAAAGACAGCACCCAAGAAGACAGTAATGCTAAGCCAGTGAGCCTTGATAATTTACAATATATATAATGATAAAGCGTAATACTACTGGATGACTCATCTGTACAGTTGTAGACCATGGGGCCACTGGACTTATGAATTCTATCCAGGGCTGCAACAGCAAAAAGAGATTTGGAACCTGGATACATGAATAAAAGCAACTCCCATTGCTGAAGATGTGACACTGGTCCAAATATTTTAAGGATATGTGTATTAGTAGGATCGAGTGGAAATTTGGTATTTCTGAAGTTGTGTGCACACACTAGAATGGCCTTCATCCAGGTAGGCAGAGGATGATATATTGTGTTTCAAACTGATGCTAGATTTAGACTGAAAAATATGTGAAATGCATTAGCATGCTCCTCTATTCAGGTAGGGCAGTCTCATGCTATGATGCTATGACAGGAAAAACAGTCTTGGCAAATAGATTCTTGAGGAAAAGAAGATAATGGAAAATGGTGAGGTCTCTGTCATTGCTTCTAAGAAATACACTGAAAATATTTTCAGAAAAATTAGTGTTTTACCATACCAAATAGAGACTTGAATATAATTTTAAGAGCTGAAGGCAGTGCTCAACTAACTGCAAGATAAACTATACCAGATATTTAAGAAGACCTGAAGATATTGGTTGTGCTCCACTGACATATTGTAAAGTAAGTGCAAGGTGTCCTGCAACAAGGTGGATGTAAACCTACCTTACAGATGATGATAAGGCTCTGGTTTTAAATGCTTGGATGTGTGTACTTCTGCCAGATGAATGTGCACTTTCCTTCCTAATCTTCAGAATGTACATGGCTCAACGTCCAGTTTATAGCAATCACTCAGAACTCTGGCAGATGGCAGAACCTCACCAGAAACCCACCTGGAGTACAATTAAGGCTGAACTCCTTTCCAGTTTACAATGGCAATGGCCCAGGAGGAAGTGACAAAAATGTAAATGAGCTGTATGAACAGCAATATGGTGTAACATTCACTGATCAGAGAAAAGTCATTCAGTGCCATCTCTTTAATAAGAGCGGCCTTTACTCTGAATTCAAGTGTTTTTCTCTGAACTGAGGAGATAAAGGACAACTGGAAACCCTTAAGGTTTTTCCGAACATTATGAAAAAAGTTGGATGAAAATTCCTAGGGAATCACTGGATGGCTCTAAGGAAGGTTTCTTGTAGATCATCTAAGACCAGTTTCTTGTCTGCCCCACAAGATCTAGATAAAATTGCATCTAACAGGAAGGACAGAATTGCATTTATCTACTTTTCTCTATTTAAGATTTAGCCACAAGGCACAAGACCACACCATGATTAGAACACAAGCCCCTGTAAGAATCAGTCAGAGCTACAGAGGTGGCCAGTCTTGCTGTAGCAAAATGAGTGGTATAGGCAGTCAAGTCTAACAGCAGTCCTGTTCTAAAGTAATCTCATGCAAACTTATTCTTAGCCTTGGCTGATATTAAGGGTTATAAAGATCATAGTCATTTTAATAACATGCAGTAAATGACAGGGGACTAGAAATTATCATCTCAGGCCTTGCAATTGAAAGCATCTTTCATCAGAATACTAAAATTACATAAAGTCATCTACTTTTCTACTCTCCCAAGACTGCCTGCAGGAGGGTCAAAAATCACAGTCCATTTACAAAAGCTGGTAACAAAGTTTCCTGAGGAGCCTTCCAGCACTTTCTAAAACAGCTGTTTAGAAAGCATCTCAAGACACATGGAATTTCATGGAAATGCCACTATACTTTTGAAATGTAGTAAGACTCCATTAAAAAAATAAATTGTAAATTTTCTGAGCATCAGAAATCAATAGAAATAAACAAGTAGAAAAGTCCCTAAGTAATAAGCCACCCATTCAGACCTCACTTACTAATTAAATGTCTTTTCAGCTCTAGTTAATATTTTCCTAAGGAATCAGTTGTTTAAACACAGCATGTCCATAAACTCTCAGCTCTTGTCTGATACCTGCTAATATAGGAGGTAAACAGCATATTTTGTAAACTGGATTTTTAACTATCCCCCTAAACCTATTTCTAGAGTCTGTGTTCAGCTTGGAACTTGCAGATCTGGTGTAACTGAGAAGCTTGTTGCTAACTGTTGTTGCAGGACTTTTGTAGAGCAGTGTGAGCTTATCTTCAGGTTGGATAATTACTTTTGTCAGAGGGTGAGGCAGCAACGCAGTGCACTATGTTACTCAGTCCCTCTAAACAATATTGTGCATACTGTTAATGCCTGGGCAAACTCACCATTTAGACCTAGAGGACTGGATTTTCCAGTGGTCTAGAGGAACTCTGCATATTTTTTTTCCTGACTTTCTGTGAGACTTACTGAAATTGCAGCTACAAGTGTTAATAGTACCTTTAGAAAGCAAGGTGAGCTGTCTCATAGCTTTTCTTAGCATAAGTTAAACAGTGCATCATTAAACAATAAATTGATATGGGTCACTTGCTAGCTCTGCAAACTAACTGCAGATTATCAATAACTGATAATCTAAAAAGAAAGGAACATATGCCCAGGTTTTCACACAAGGGAAAATATTTTACTTCAATATTATCATCTAATACCATTTCAGAGTTTTAACACCATGTAATTTCCTGCACAGTGGTTGTATGCTGGCCTACCATTGAGCAGATGGTTTGTCTTGGGTGACAAGATACAAATGATATGGAAACTTCATAACTTTTGTCACCTACTGCATCTATTAGCCCAGCAATAAACTAAATATTCAAAAGTGAGGCTTCTGGCCTCCTAGAGGTGGTCCTTCCAGATAGGTGTGGATGCCTACAGCCAGAGCTGAGCTTGCCAAGGGCTAGAAGGACAGAGTCTGCAATGGACTCAATGGTTTTAAGAAATCAAATAGTGACCAGGAGGAAAGAGAGCAGAATCTTGTCCTGCCAGAATCTCTTCTGTGAGAGAAGAATCGGTCGTAAATGGTTCAGTGGGTACATCTCACCAATGCTTGCTATGTTTAAATCCTAGTGGAAGTAATTATATGTGGTGAGTAGGGCATCAGAATGGGAAATACAGAGTAATAAACCACCTGAAAACCTCCAAACCATTGGTCTCATTCAGCAGTCTGTGCTACCCTGTGCTCTTTATCACATGAAAAGAGTCTGGCAAAGGTCCAGCTACTCTACCCTTTCTATTTCCAAAAGGTCATTCTCAGTAATGGCCATTAATGTAATATGAAGAAGACAAGCACAAGGGTGCACAGTGGGTTAACTGAGAGCAGAAGCTAAAGAATTATCTTCATTGTTCAATGCATTTCCTCATCCCTTCCACTCTCGGGCTCCAACAACACAGAGAAACAAGCCATGCCTCAGTCTTGAAAGAAGAACATACGGAAGCTCACTAGTCACTAGGGAAAGATCTTTCAGTGGTTACTAAAAGGTTAGCTGCACAAAGGAAGTAAATGAATTTCCAGTCATAATATTTACATTTCAATCAAAAGTACTGCAAATTTTAAGTAGGTAAATACAGTTGTTCATTTAACACCACACATGTAATAGATCATTGTTTCATATCATCATCATCCACTTTTAAGTCAATAGGCAGGTCTGCAACATGAGATTTTTCAGGAATCCTACAGCAACACATACACACAAACACACACAAATCACATGTAAGAAGTAGCTTGCATAAGGTAAGTAAGGTTAATGGCAAAAGCTTCTTTCTATGCAGAAGAAATTGAACATTAAAGCTGCAGTATTAGGAAAAAAAAAAAGTTTAAAAACAAGAAATGAAGTCGTACAACAGATGAGAGCTTAACAAAATTGGTGACCTTTCCACACAGATAAAGTCAGGTTAAAAAAAACAAACCAAACCAAAACCAAAGGGACCAAATGAGACCAAAGGAGAACCTCCCCCCCACACACATACAGACAAAAGTGAGAGCACAACAAAGGAAGTGGAAGAAAAGTGTTACCCATAAGTAGCCGCCGTTTCACCCGCTTGTCCACATCAGCTACTGACGTGGCATTGTACTCAGAACTCTCAATTGCAGCCTCATCCTTCTCTAAAACACAAGTAAGGGACAAACATGGAGCAGTTGGTTAATCACAAGCCCAATTTTCCGCTGCCTAAGACAGTTTCTTGGCATGGCACAGCCAAAGCCAAGAAGCAAGGCATGAAAGCACTAAATCCCCGTTAGAGAGTTAATTCCCTTTGAGAACCCGAGAAAAAATTGAAGGCTGTTTAGGGAAAGGAGGAAGAAAGGGGGAGGAGGAAGAATGGTCAACTATGAAGTAATTAACCACATACAGGAAGCTGGATTCCTACTGGAGAACAAGACGGCTAACATGAGTGCCCCAGAGAGGTGTTAATGATGAAAATTAAAATTCAGGGATGCTAGTTAAACAAACTACCAAAGACAAACTGTAAAGTGATTCAGGCTAACGGTGGCACCAGGATCTGAAGGTGGCAGGCAGAAGATCGAGACAGACAGAGCGAGCTAGAAGAGTCCGGTGATGGATGGGCACGGATGCACCATAGTCTCATACACATTGACACATTGTGAGGAGAAACCAAACAACGGCATGCAAATTAAACAAAACCAACAACAAAAATAAACAAACAACAAACCAAACAAACACAAAAAAAGATCAATTTGGGCAGTGCTGGTTGCCTGCTTGTCTATGAAACACTACTAGCTAAACATTCAATGCTAGGAAAGATGTTGCAAGAACAGAGTTTAGTAATTTATAAGCATGCAGTAAGCAAGATGATGTCAGCAAAGGTCATTTTACAGGGTAGTCTCTGATATCCTACATGTAAGAGTTTCGTACAGCATAATGAGGACTTTAGTTTGGTTATGCATCATTAGAAATACACAGAAACAGTCACAAGTGTGGGAAGAGATGATCAGTAAGTGAAATAAAAATAAAGATTTCTGATACTGGAGAGCAATGGAGAAGCAGCAGCTGGGTAAATAAAATTATTTATACAGAGAGGGAAATGCTTATTAGGAAAACAAAAAACAAAATGCAAGTGGGGACTTTTACATGCAGCAAACAAAAAAAATAAAAGGATAAGTCAAGCAAACGAAGACAAAATATGTTAGACAAAGGGTCAACAAGTATTTATCTGGCATTGCAGAAGTTTGCATTCTTGCAGTGATGCCTGGAATATATACACCACTGAAGACAGCAAACACTGGAATCACTGAAGTGAGGAGGAGGAGGAGGCTGGCAGGTTTTGTTTGTGGCAACACTACATGGTTCAGTGGTAACAAGAAGTTGTTTTGTTTTGTTTTTAACAAGTTCTAGATGGGATCAGGCTGCAATAGAGGCTTTTGTTTGAGTTTTTTTTTTTTTTATTTTGCTCTGTAAATAATTAATGAACGTCAGTTATCAGACAAGACAGGCAATCAGGAACCATCACCAGAAAGCAGGAATAAAAATGTAAAAAATAAATTAAAAAATTTAAAAGTATTCTATGAGAAAGAACTACTTAGAAAGAAGAAAATCAGCACAGGCAGTAATATGTGACTTACATCACAAGACCAAGGAATGTAACATGGAGTTGTATGTATTACATTACAAAAATGGAAAAAAAAGTAAAAAACAGGTGCAGTGTACACAGCTTTTAAAATCATTTTTACATGCTGGACAAAATAAAACATCAATCCAAGGATATTAGTGAACACTAATAAATAGAAGATCAATTATCCATTCAATAAAACCTGCTCTCAAGGCCCTTGCTCTTGCAAATTCTCTGCATCTGGAACTGCCACAGGCTTCAGGGAGGGTTACTTAAACAGAGGGACTGTATGACGGAGCCCTCTGTGTTAATCAAAACTACTAGCTGAGTGATCCCGTAAGCTGAGACATAACCCGTGTGTACAGCGAGGCAGAGCCCAGTGCTGAACCTTGTTCAGCTCTACCCCTGCCAGCATAACGCTCACCCTACCACACAATCTGTGCAGTCAAACCCATCAGAAGCGAGGCAGGCTCTGGGCAGCCACGGAGTTTTATGCCATGGATCTGACCAAGGGGAACACTAAAGATAACTGACAGATTTCCATGGGATTCAAGTGCTCTATCTTGCAGTATTGATAGAGGAGAGGAAAGATTATAAATATGTGTCCATGCTTTTTTTTAACTTCAGGAAAATACTAGGTATTTGTAAGAATCTGAAATTAAACAAACAAAAAAAGTCAACATGACCACAATGCTAATGAAAACTATCGTGGATTTTAGGTTCTGATATGTGAGTAAGAATTTCCAAATTTTAACTTGCAGTATGCAAATATACATTTTTTTTATTTAGAAAAAAAAACAAAAACAAAACAAAACAAAACAAAAAAAACAGAGTGGAAAGAAATGGTGTTAAGTAAATAATATATTTTATAATCATAAATATTTGCACAGCATCTCCCAAGATGCTCCATCTCTTGAATGGCTTTTTCCTACTGATAATCTAAGTGAAAGCTTATTCGCTACAAGTGCTGTAAATTTTAGAATCATAAAACATACAACAGGGAAGAAAGCACATCATGATGATTAATTTTTCCCAGTAACACCTTAGAAAAGAGGAACATTTTCCTCACCTTGCTTACGCAAGGAAGTCTTGGCTCATGTAAGTGAACGGAAGAGCTGAACTTTCATTCATAATTATGAATGTTCTACACCTTTTTACTTCAAAAATTATTAGAGCTATGAAAAAAAATAAAAGTTGCAAAGAAATAACAAAGGGATACTTTATTAACAAACATTTTGACAAAACATGCACCAATGCTTCTCTGTATAGCATGACCTTAGCTACTACAGCCAGGAACTGCTGTTACACACTTCTCGGCAATGGTGCCAAACGCCTGTGAGATACAAACACGCACGCGCACACACACACACATACATATGTGCACATATATATTCTATGAGGAATACGATATAAAATGTGCTGCAGGGAAGTACTTACCAATGCAGGTTCGGCCATCTGAATGTAGGGCATACTTCTGATGACAACCACACACAGGACCAGTATCTGTGTCATCACAGGTGTGTTGGCAGCCTCCATTCCCATAGTTACAGGTTACTAGTTAAGCCCCAAATGAATGTGTATATATGTATATATAAATAAAATGACAATGAAACCAATTAGTCTTTTCAATGAAAGCAATTAGGCCTTTCAGAATTCAGAAGAGCAGTAACAAACCAAGACATATGGCAACATTACATTTGTATTTGCAGTTATTTGCATTTCTTATTCTTTCTGACCCCTCCTTATCTTTGCCACATGCCCTACTCTCAAGCCATGGCAGTGAAGAAAAAAAAGAGAAAGAAAAAAAGAATCACGTGCTACTTTTTCCCCAGACTATTTGTATTCATAATTTTAGTATGAGTGGTTAGCCAATCCATCTCTTCCTAAAAGCCACATGCTTCATATCCATGATGCATATGGCATGAAGAAATGACCGGTCTACTAATATAGATGAATATTTTCAAGTGTACAGACAGCATTTCTCTCTTCCTTCCCCTTCATTTTCTAAGTGGAGGAAGCAGAGACCAAACAGCAAGAATAGAACCATCTAAGTCTTGAAATCTATTATTTCAAGTACTGGTCCTCCTAGAATAGGATAATGTTTAAAAATAAAACAGGAAACACGGCTTTTTAAATTTTCTTCTCTGAAACAAAAAATACACAGTTGTTATGGCCCTGCAGTGTGACAGCCTCAACTAGGAAGGAAACATTGGAGATGTTACTTTCACTTCCAACCATACAGTGCAAAATGGCTCTTAGCAACTAAGATGCCCTCTGGTGAAAAAATACTAAGCATACATTAAAGCAAACATTTTTCATGACAGGTAGAGTTTTTTAAGTTTACATGAATTAACAGATCAGATTCATTTTCTCTTGTCACATGATGTATTAATTTCTGACTATTAAGGCAAGCCAGTTTTTAAATATTAAGACGGCTAGTGCCATTAACATTGCCTCTCATTTGCCTCTCCTGTTTAATCCTTCGCAGTCACATAGCTTGATGCTGAATAACACAGTTCTGATCTGACTGAATTCTGAATTCAATTTACTGTCTTTATATACATGCGATTTGGATTAGGTTCTTTATTGGTATATACATACTGAAAAATTCACAGCAAATCCAATATATCATTATTCAGTTATATCATACTCATAATTTCAGAGGGCTTCAGTGTTTTCAAATATTATAGTAATTTAATTACTGACTCCTACTAATCAGAAGGAACTTCCTCACATTGGCCTTAGCAGAATTTTCCTTCTAGATAAGGAAGTTTATAAAAGAGCCAGAGTAGCAAATTGCAATATACGATAAAACCAAGTTAATGGTTAACTGGATTTTAAAATCATGTATCTAAATCTAAAATGAGGTTGTATTTAATCCAATAGGGCTAAACTCGTACAATTTCCACCGACTTCAGTGACTCTGCTTTAACACTAGCTTCTTAAAATGGAGTAGACTGGAATTTTCAGTGACAGTAACTAGAATTGAAATATTCTACCTCTGATGAGAGTGTCCCAGTGCTGAATAGTCATGCCACTCTTGGTAATCACTTAAGTATTTTGCTTGAAATGGAACAACAAAAACAACGGAGGGAGACCCACCACAGCATACCCAACAGAATTCCCATTAAAACCTCCTGCCAGCGTGGGAACCACAAGTTTACATCCACCGTCCCTAAAGTCTGGCAAAGATCACAACAGGAATTGTCCATCTCCCAAGGGACTACAGACCAGGGACCACCGTGGGTGCAAGCACCCTTGGTCCTTCACACTGTACATTTTGAATCAAGTCTGTATGTTGTTCAGAGATAGTGAGGGAATAGACACATGGCCTAGTGGTAAGAACAATCCCTGAGAAGAGGACCCGCCTGGATTCCCACCTCTCCTCCTAGGAATATTGCCGTTTGATCCAATTGGAAAGAATGTCAGTGAGAAAGATGGAGAACAGTCTGATCCACATTCATTTACTGGAACTTGACAGTCTTACCACTAGCCTGGAAAATGGGAATTTGGGTTCAGTCCCACCAGACAGAAGTGGGAATTGAACTCACACACCCCAAGTCATAAGAATCCTAAGCTTCCAAGGAATTACAGTAAAAAAGCCCCCTAAGCAACAACCACCGTCAGGCATTCTTTCTCCTTCTCCAGTTTTATAACTTAGCTATTAATTTATTTTTGTGAAAAAATATATGAAGCGATCCATTCTGTTTTGAATCAAATGGAAGTCACATTTCATTTCCTTCAATACACAATAGCATTTTAGCTTTTATTTTTGATGAAAAAGTAATTCAAATTGTACATCAATTGTTAAACCTCCCACCTTTTTGATGCAGCCATGCTTAAAAATAATTTCCTTGTTCAACACTATGCCTGTCCTTCTTAATCTCTTTTTTTTTTTTTACCCGTTCTCTGAATTGCAGTTTTTGGGGGTTAATCTTTTCTTGTGGCTCTCTCTGCTGCATTATGTGTGCAACAGTAACTTCTTGGTTAATCTGGAGGTAGATGAAATACTGGTTTGCAGCCTAGTTGAGAGCTGGAGGAACAGACGGGCTGTTTGAATCTGCTGGCTGCAGCCCCATGAGCTGCTCTCTTCTGGCTGGCTGTGTCTGGAATGTGGTCAGGCAGGGGCAGTAAGTGGTACAGGGGGCAGCTGCTTGCCATAGCCACTGTACTGGGCACACAATGGCAGAGCTAATCCAGGATAAGGTAATTTCCATCTACCTATTCTCCCCTCCTTCTTGACCATGTATGCCTCTTGGGACTACATGGAGGTTCATTCAATGTTTCTATCCCTGTTGGACTATAGCACCATCACAAATTCATTTAAAGGTGTTGTTTATGCCAGATGTTTAAATACATTTCTACCCAACAGTATTTTTTATTGAGGATTTTAAAGTGCAATCAATAATAGTGTATATTTTTAAACAACTCGACTGCAGTGGTTATTTCTGGCATTCCTTGCTGAAAGCCTCTGCTGGCAGAGATGAAAATATCTTAAAATGGCTGCTCCAATAGACATAATATAAGGGACTTTCTCTTACTATATTTGTCTATGAAAAACTGCACTTGACTGGTGGGGTTTATGGTAAATCCTGCAGAATCACACAATTCTTTTATCGTTTCCCTGTATATTAAAGTTACTGGTTCCTGTTCTACCCAATCAATGAACACAGATGTAGGTCAGTTCCTTCTTCTGTCTCTTACAAATATTAGTAAATCATGTTTTTGAAGGATTTTGATTTCTGTCTAGACTACTATTTATTGATTTATTTATTTATTCAAAGCAACTTGAGCCAAAATTCTGGAGCTTGACAGCTCTGCAGGGGAAATTGGTACAAAATCCAGTTGTAAAATATGCAATTTCAGTTTTTTTCTAGCCTTAATTTTGTGGCAGTGACAGTGAGAAGTTTATCTTGCTTAGAGAAGAAAACCAAAATTATTTAAAAGCAAAGGGCGTCCAGTTCTACTCCATTTTTTCTCAGAAAGCATTAAAGCAAAATTAATGAGAAATCTCAGCATTCTTTTAAAAATTATTTCTGATTAATTTGAACTCTACAGCTATGCAAAAGACTGTGTGCTCATTTCGAGTCTGACATAAAGGAGGGAAACAAAAAGAGGCAAAATGGCAAATTCTGACAGACACAGATCACCTTCGAATATTATGTCAAGTTACAATAAAAGAGATGAGAAATTGTAAGTAATTTTTTTTACCCAAAGGAGAATATACACATGTCTGTTAGAACTCAGATATACTTATCCCCACATAGCAGATTTTAAAACAGAGTAACACCACTGCTTTCAACAGTGCTTCATCATTCATATATGTCTTAAGTGTGCTCAGAATGCTGGAATCTTTCCCTTAGTGGGAGAAATACCCTGTACAATTGGCTAAAACCAGCATCTCATAGAGAAGGCTTTGCCTGTGTTGGCTACAAACATGAGTAGAAACATCACACAGGCCCTCCAAAGATGCATGCCATCTATGTCAGGTGTCTAATGCTGGTGGCCAAGTTACCCATCTGTTCTCCCAATACTGTTTCTACTGCGAATGAAGAGTAATGGGGCATCCTGAGCCAAAACCCTGACGCTGGTGCTTCAAATATCCTTCAAACAAGATTAATTCTTTTCACTGACTATAGTGCTCAGGCTCTTGAAGTGGCCAGCCACCTTCCAGGGCCTGCAGGCTGGGAGCGTGGCGTAATCTCCCTAACTGCCCACCTGCCTATACTGTAAGCAGCAGCACCGCTTCAGTCTGGCTGGGCTGAGCTAAGCATTCTGGAGACACAGCTTTGCATGTGGGCCACTGCTTATATCCACAGAAATAGATGGACTCATCTTAAAACGGCATTTTGATGATGAAAGACAAGAAACAACTATCTGGAAGAGGAATGACATCTTAAAGAACACAAGGGATTTTAATGTACTTATTACACTGAATAATGATACTGATGTTCCATGCTAAAATCCCCCAGAAGAGAAAAAGCCAGAGTTCAGCCTCACTCTACAGGCCAAATTCTGCTTTCAGTGCTTCTCTGAACTTTCATACAAACATTTTTCTGGTCTCTTCCATCTGACACGTCCATGACTAGGAGTATTTCAAAACATATGGCCAAATATTAAATCTAGCATTTAATACTCACTAACCTAAAAAATCCCCTAAGACAACGATGTCCTGATCTTGTCCACATGTAGATTGAAATATATATTATGGCTCAGATGATACAAACTTTGCAACAAGACAGATCTTTTGCTTTTTGTAGCATGGCTTTCTGTGACAGCTTGAACCAGCACATTGTAATTTCAGATAAATTAAAAATTGCACTGTTTTTTAACTAAATTGGCCATTAAATATATGATTTATATAAATATATGGGCATCTCTTTCTGTGTGATAAAGCTGTGCATGCAACATTGCTTGCATTATTTATTCTAGTATGGCCTTACATTTTTAACATTCTAGAGATCTTTGTACTGACAGTAAATAGCTGCATGAGAACACTGTCAACAGGACCTGAAAAGCTGCCACTTGGCATAGGTAGGAAAGCATTTTATTGTAAACATACTAGACAAGATTTATAGAACTACTTAGCACTAGCCCTCCTGCTCACTTAAATAATTATTGGAGGGGGCAGATAGAAATAGCTGTAGTTAAGGTTATCCATCATTTTTCATTAAAAGATTCGGCTTTGACTTGATTATAACTCTGTCAGAATTATTTCTTTTAGTTTGCAACTTGCAGGTATGTGCATCTGCTCTGGGTTTCCTCTTACTTTTTCAAATTCCAGCTAAACTGATCCGGCTAATAATGAGATTAAGAAAAAATGTCTTGGTTTGTTCATATTTGAGGAAAAAGCCTTCAGTTTATCAAAAATTTCTAATGCAATCATGCTCAGGAGCAGGATCTTAAAATCTATCATGGATGCAGATATAGAAAGAGAAGGTAATCTCCCATGTTTTTCCACTAATATCTGGAACCAAATTCACTATTCCTAAATCGCTTCTTTGGTGCCAGCAAGTATCTATGACAATCACTGACAACAGCTTGTGTAGACAGAAAATAGTAGTTTACTGCTGCTTTGGATATAAAAGATGCAGTTCTTCTGAGGAATTATGTATGGCTCTGTATGATTCTGCTTGATGTATTTCTAGATGACTTCCTGAGTCCCTTCCAGCCTCAACACTTCTGTGTTTGTCTGGCATGGTGGGCAAGATTTATTTTTTTTTTTGTAACTGAGAAATTATGTGTTTAAAATGTACACTAAGAAACCGTTAAGTTTGTAATATTAAGCACTCAAAAAAACTACAGAATACTAGACTTCTGATACATAGACTTATTGTATCATGATAATAATTTTTAATGACAAATGCAGAAAATACTACTGTCTTATTCAGTTCACAGTGGAGCTGGGGAAAGTCAGGTCTGTGGAAACAGCTGGAGAATCTTGTCTCATTTGCTGCAGAATGAGTAGTAAAACAGAAACAGACTGTCAAGAAAGCATGGTCTTCTTCAGACAGTGAATAGAGCCCTCAAAAACCTCTAATCTGCATTGCAGTGGAATTCCTAATTAGGACTTGGTAAGTCACTTGAATCACATGTATTAGAAGTTACGAATATTATATTCCTTTCTCCATGGCATTTGAAACTACAGCTGGAGCCACTGGGAGCTTGGCTTTGATCACATTAAAGTGCTATAAATGTTGAGTTGGGTTCTGGGTGTTTCTTGTTAATCATCTATCACTACTAAATGACTTTGACATTAACATCTTTATATTCATTCCCCATTTGTAATATAGGCAAACCAGTACTTTCTAACTTGACACGAATGTTCTGAAAATACATTACCAATGCCTACAAAGCACTTTGACATTACAGTAATGAGTATCATGGGAAAACCCATGAGGAAATTAAAAATTTTATGTTCATAATAAGGTTTAAATACTGCACAGCAGTAAAGGCATGACACTGAATTATGGAAAGGAAATAACTAAACAAAAGCCTGTTTAATGAGCACTGACCATCATGTACACTGAATGAAGCAAGACACCAATAGTGACTGCCTTATAAGCATGTGATGATATAATCAGGTGATATGTAATCATGTAATTAGGATGCAATGACAATCTTGTAGTGCATGCATAAAAAGCAGGGAGCTTCCCTCAAATTTTTTATGCTTTCTAACTAACTTATTCTAACGTATTTTTTTCCTTTGAGAAACACATCTCATTACTAGTGGACTTGGGCCAATACACCTCAAAACCTCTCCCAGTAATTCTGATTCAATTGCAAACTGGCTGATAAAAATTCACTTAGTGAGGTACTGGTTCTCTGCCACTTGTTAACATAAAAAAACCCAGAGAAGCAAGCTCTGACAAATCCTGAAAGGCACAATCTCCTGCAGGGATCATGATAAATCAGAATAATTGAGAGGGATAGAGATATACTAGGGGTACATCAGACCCTACCAGTCCCTGGCATACAGGGCTACAGACCCAATCCAGGCTGAAAAGGGGCAAGTGTATCTTTTTCAGCTCTTCAACACAGCTGTACTCAGTACTTGGAAAGCTGCAGCTCAAGATTTAAGCTGATTCCACTGAAATGGTTAGCTATGAAAAAGTTATTTTAAAAGTCAAGATTTGGTTTCAGAACTAGACCTTTATAAATAGACTGCTGTAACCTCATAGTTATTGTTCCAGTCTATCTGGCTACAGCTTTATACTTCTTTGCATTTGGAAGGGCTAGAAGCACAGTTATTTTAAATAAGACTCTGTAATATAGTTGCAGAATGTGCTGTGGGTTTAGAGGTCAGTGTACTTTGCAGCAAGCTCCTCATCCTTGAAAAATTCAGCATCCCTACTTAAAGGTCTATAAGCAAAAGTTCATTATACTTCCAATTACAATTTAAGCACCACAGGGCACAGAATAAATGCAAGATTTTTACTCTATTAAACCTTGAGGCATTTAGAAATATTGTTCTAGAAAAGTCTCTAATCCTCCTGTCACCATCTCACTATGAAAAAGAATAATGTAATTCCTAAGGAATGTACAAATTTGTGGAAACAAATAATAAGTAACATAAATAAACATCCTCTCCCACTTAACAATGTAGCTGATGTTGCACTGCAATTAACAGCACCCAATGGTAACTTCTAATAAACACTGAGAATGAAAATTACCATAAAGGCGATTTTTCTCTGTGCTTTTGCCCTTGGCCCTGTGTAGCCTCATAATACTGAGGAGCAATCAGGCTGTACAATATCCTGTGGCACTTCTTGATGATACTCAAAGGTGATTCTTTTGACTTTATACTTGGGAACTAATATCATCTCAGTGTGTTTACACAGTGGAGATCTCAGGAAGAATAAAGTTGAAGTGGAAGAAAGGCTATTACAAAAATACTAGCCCTATGCAAAACACAAAACATGTTTCACGTTGTTTTATTGCACTTTCTTTTTCTTGTCTCTCACAAAGCTACCAAGTAGGAAAGCAAGCTATTGGAGTCAGATCTAACACTCACTGAAGCCATCAGAAAGATTCTCATGCATTTTGGAAGCTTTCAGATGACAGTGCTGAGTTACAGAGGGTCAATTATTTTAACCTGTACACAACAATTTCCAATTTTTTGGGTTAATGAATATCTATATCTTCAGCATCCCAGCTTTGAGACTACACCACTCAGGGTTTTTCTTTGAACATTATATATGATACTGCTGCACGTTCTCCAACAACAACAAAAGTAGACTGCGTGTAGTGGGATCAGGACTAGAGCAAGCATTTCTATCCTTTAAAAAAAGAGGAATTAACACTCTTAATTTGATAGCTCTAGTGGGTTTATCATTAACTACATTAGTAGATTTATCATGCATCTATCATTGTGGATCTTCAAAATACTGCAAGCCAGAATGCCCTACACTTTATTTGTTTTGCTTTACAAGGAAAGCCTGGATTAAAGTGCTATCTTGCTTTTCTGCATTCATAGGAAGGCACAAAAGTTGTTACCATTTTGCTAACAGTCACTGCCAACATTCTGTTATTCAATCCCTCTTATCCATCCCCAAGCACACCTTCTGCAGCAAAAAACATTACTAAAATTACAAATCACCTTTGGCCCAAACTAAGTTGATTTCTTGGCTTCTGGAAAATAACAACAATGAAGAAAATAAGACATTTTGGGGTATTTGAAATTTAATCTTCATCTACCTACATTTGCAGTCCTTCTGGTTTTTGGCAAGTTCAAAGCCAGGCCTACATTCACAGGCAACCCCACCTTTGGGTGTCTCCCGGCAGATGTGTGCACACCCATGATCTTTGTTCATACAGTTCATACCCTCTGTAAAAAAAAAGAAAGAAAAATAGAAAATATTAGTACTGAAAATAAATTACAAAATAATTATACACATTGAGTCCTCCAGTAATTTTAATTGTAATTTTTATTTGCATCTGGACTATGTTCCACAAGGCAAAGGAATGCAGCTGAAAAGATGTATACAATCAACAAAACTGTGTAATAAAGGACAAACCTCCTCTGGGGCAAATACAACAAGTACTACTGTGGAATATAGGGTGTCTATGCTGCACATAGAAATCCAGGACTTGTGATTTCCCTATTCTACATCCATATTCTAATCTTCCATGAAAATATCATGGATTTAGAGGATACTCCAGGAAGCTGTCTGTTCCGCAGGTGATTATCAGAGTTGAATAACTGAACTTACTGTTATGTTTTCCTTGTATAAATGTAATGGTTGTTACTGCCTGGTGCATTTTTATTTGCCTGTTAATGTGCTTTGTATTTTCTAACACATAAAATCTCCCAAATATTCTGGATCTGTTTCTTCACTATCTGCTATACATCTCAATTATCTGGTCATCCATGATAAGCGCAGCCCACTTCCAACAAACCTACCACCACTCTTCTCTTTGACTATATTAAACAAAACATATCAGCTGTTCAACAAATGTCCAAGTGCCATGGATGGATTCCTGTTAATGTTTATGCCAAGGAGCAGTATCAACCAGCTTTCTAAACCATGTAAGTGATTTAGATGCTGAATGTGCCTTATGCTCTTAGGGGCCTTCATCACTGAGTTAATTCAAATCTCACGTATTCACAGAAATCTTGAACTCAGTCCTTATGGGTCAGCACCTAGCGTTCCTTGCAAGAATGAAGGCTAGTTAGATTTGCATTACAAAGCCTTCCCAGACTTCCCCTTGGACATCTGACCTGGAAGGGAGAGACAAACTCTCTGAGTACACTGACAGAGAATTCACAACATAACTCATCTTACTACTGCGAAAACAGCATGTAGTTCCAAGACACTGGTGAAGGCAACATCAGTGTGGAGACAGCAGCTCATTTGTCACTTTGTAACATGGCTACTCCTACCTATTCTAGGCTAATTTCTCAAAACAACTCCAGTGTAAAATGTTCCACGTAAACTTACAGTGACAACATACCGTAAATGAATGTTTTTTCAGGGTGTTGCAGTTTTTGCTTCCAAAGGTGAAAACGATCACTTCCCTCCCTTTTTATTCTTACAGAAACTGCATGAACATACCTGCCACCTCTGGCATCTACACACACATTATGATGAATTTGAGCAAAATTTTTCTGCATACAAAATAGGTTTTAATTGAATACAAATTAGTGTATCAGATAGATGCTAAGAAACTTTGTGCACAAAATTCTGAGGATATGCTCAGTTAGTCAGAGATTCCCTCAGGCTGACAGAAGGAAGCAGCTTCAGAAGTTATTTGCACTGCTGGACTTTACCTCAGAAAGGTAGAGCAGTGCCTCATTAGCAGAACAACGAAAAACACGCATCACCAGTCCGAGTGGGTATTTTTGTTCACCTCTTCTACATAAAATATCAGGATCTTAAATCTCACCACTTAGGAAAACCAACATTATATGCTACAGATACATTTCTCTCTTCTGAATTCCCCACTGTGTTGGCCATGATGAGTCTTGCCAAAGCACAAAATAAGTTATTCTCTGTAAACTGCAGCCTGAACAACAGATGCTATTGGAAGATATAACACATACTATATACTATGCTATACCATCCTATACATCGAAGTAAGGTATGAAAGTTTTGTTTGGCTGGATAGATATAAGAAATCTGGGAACGGCCTTACTGAAGGTTTTGAGGCATTCTCTCCACTTCTCCCAACGAAGGACTGCAGAGACAACGTGTTTGACAAACTGCATTCCTGCACACTACGCTATGTTCAGAAAAGGATCTGGTAAAGATAACACATGCCTGATTGAGTCACACTGCTGAAGCAATGAGAAGAGAGGAATTAGATAGATGAAAGAAGACAGTTAATGGCCCAGAAGCGCAATGAAGCAAGTGATTTCCAGTGTTTACTTACAGATACTGAATATCTGATATCTGCCATTGTTAAAATCACTTGAGAAGACAGAAATTATCCACTGCTAAAATATCACTAGAAATCGAAGATCAGAATTATTACATTTTGGAACAAAAGTGAAAGGCAAAGCAGAATTTTATGCTGGTATTTGTGTGTAAGACCACAATATCACAGTAACTATATTAATAATTTCAGTTACTGTATTCATCAGATAGCTGGTGCTGTAGAAAAACTATTTCAGTTCCATGTTTAGCTGACAAAGACCACCACAGAAATCTCTCAAGCCTGAAAAATATTGTTTCAGAAAATTTAAGTTTTTCTGGTGAAATGAAAGGCCATTATTTTTCAGTCAAGAGCAGGAACTCATCCACAATGAAGCTTCTCATTTATATCGCAGTATTTTTCAAAATCCCTAGGAATTAAATTACAAAAAATTCCTAAATATAATTCTGTTTAGGTCTGAAAAAAATTATTTCAATAAAAAATGCAGCAAATAAATATTCTGGCTTGTTTAAAAATGTAATCTAAACCAAATTTGTGTTAATTTGCAAATAGTGTTAATTACTTCAAATTTTAATTTTTCAGCAAATGCAGTATTTGGCCAGAAGTCTTTTCTATCAATCTACATACACAAATGATTTATGAATCATTGTTGATACATAAGATTTACTTTTTTTTTGCAAGCTGACTCTTCAGACAATCCTGAACCTTTTATGATATAGCATATAAATCACACTAAAAACTGCAAGAATATGCTAAATACCTTCCTAATACTAGTTTAGTTGCTGTACAAATGCATAGAATTGAGAGAGAAAAATAGTCCTAAAATGGCTTTGTTCAGTCTTCTCTTTAGCAGGATGTGGCTGAAACTCTAAAATGAATTAGAAACCTTTCACACGTATTTTCCTGTACTGGAACTGGATAGAGTGCACTGTTGTTAGTAAAATTACTCATCTGCTGACTGCACACCACTCTGCTATCACAGAAGTAGTAAAATGTCCAAGTTACCATCTCCTCTCACTATCATCTCCTGAAAAACAAAGCTTTGCCTTATTTTAGTTAATGTTTAGCAGCCACCTAAGGTGCACATGCTTTTTACGTAAGGAGCCAGGAGTGTGAATAACAGCATGGGAAAAATTCCCCTGATGTTAAAAGGGGGTGTTTCTCACGCATCTCAGTGCCTGCCCTGGCGTCCAGCCTCCCTCGGCCCCAGGACAAAGGGTGACCCAAAAGGGAGGTGGGCAGCGTGCTTCCAGACCCACTGGCCTTGCCGTGTGCAGGCAGCCGGGCGGCTCCCCTGCCCGGTGATGGGCAGCGCACAGCTCCAGCAAAAATCCCGTGTTCCCTCTGCGGGTAACTGGCACAATCAAGGCCAAACAGCTTGATCTGTAGAAATGGGAGGAAAGCTAGTCATTCAAGTAAAAAACATGACCGTGGAAAAATTGGGTGGGATTCTCCTGCTCATTTAAACGTGTTTAAAGTTTTTCTCTAAAATAACCATAAGCCCCAACTCTGCAGCAGGGCTCCAGCACCAAGAGGAGTGCCCTGTGGTCCGCCTGCGCTCCTTCCTAGAGCTGACCAATGTAAGGCAGAACCAGGGAAGAGAGTGGAAACACCTACGGAATTATTCTAGGCCTTTCCCAAGACAGTACAGAATTATACCCATGGCAGTTTTACTTCAGTATGTTGCATGGCCTGGGCAAAATATTAGGCAATGGATCTTCCACCCGAGCCTTAACCACGAAGTATTTGCAGAACTACATCTTTTACTACACAGCCTGGTGGCCTTGCTCTCTCTCCCATCATGCGTCACTCTGGTTTTGAACATGAGGAGTTGTTCCTAGCTGCTTCTCTTGATTTTTGCAGTGATCTGTGTGTCCCAACTTCTAGAACTGATGTGACTATGGGTCAAGTGAAAAACCATAGTTCCCACCTCAAGGGAAAGACTAAATATTGATAAAAGAGAAGTCTGCACAGCAAAAAAATCCTTTATTGTCATGACACTAAAATGTCCAATTTTGAAAGGTTCTAGGTTTCCATGTAAACCATTAATAAAAGCAGTAACTTAATTCCATATGCTGCTACTCAAGGTAGTCTCTGAAGCCTCTGAAGCCTAGCACAAAAATGGGTGCATGTTCTCTTTGGCAGTGGTGGCAGACAGTAAAATAAACTTTGCAAACACAGACACATTCTCAGCAAATTCACCTTACAAAAAGACAGCAAAACAGAATCCAATGGAAAATATATTATAAACAGGAAGAGAAATGCCACTTAAGAAAGGAAAACACTAATCTAATTAGACTAAATCCTTACTCAGCATTTTAGATATGACTTGAGCAACTGTCTCCTATTGCATTCCTGGATTTTTTCTGACTTTCAGTTACAAAGGATTGTTCATGGAAGAGTAGCAGGCATTGTTCTATGATCCACAATCCACTTTCATTTTTGTTCCTGGCCTAGGAGAGATTCGGGTGTGAGTCTACTACATTAATCCAGTCTGCCATATAGTTACCACAAATCTCTTAATAGTGCTGTTCTGCAAAATGTTCAGTCTGATACAAGGACCTCTCCATTGTATTATGCTCTAAAAATGTTTTCAGCTCAGTGGCTCTGAAAGTGCTTAAATCAGGCTGACTGTGACAACTAATGTACTGATCTGCCTTTATTTTTCATTATCACTTCCTGTTCTCATCTAATTAAGTCTTCTAGCTATTATTTTACTCTGTGGTTCATCATCTATGCTTACATTATCCTCTACGCTGTCATAATTTCACTTACTCTGTATTTATATTGCTGCTATTTTTTATAACTTCCAAATAAACACACGGATTCCAAACACAATCTGAAAAAGACTACTTTAAGTTTCACTGAAGATATAATACAGTAATATCTTTTAGAATATTGTCAGACTATATGTGGTTGAATATGGTAAAAAAACACAAGAGATCTTGAATT